GGAGGCGGTGCCGCGGCTGCCACGTTGGAGGGGTACAGGGACGGGTGAGCGCCGGGGACACGGAGGTGAGGAGGGGGGGGTGAAACCCTTGTTTTCCGCCTCTTTTTGTTTACCCTTTTAATTCCTGTCAGAAACGGCGCGTAGGTGCGTAGGTCCCCAACGGACCGGTACCGGTTGGGAACAGTCGGTCTCGCGCTGGCGTACTCTGGCCATGCAGGGATGAAATAAGACCCAAAAATAAAGCAGTGAAAGCTTTTAAGCCGTTTTTCGTCCTCCGGTCTGCCTGGCTGCTGAGGGTGTTTGGCGGTGGCGGTCTGCGTGAGGGCTTTTTCGAGGGTGGGTTCGTTTTGTGGGTTAATGCTGAAAGCTGCTGTAGGGTGCCCTGTGTATGTCTTGATGCAGCAAGAAGAGGGTTTTTCAGGACAGTTGAAGCTTTGCCCGTGTTTTCCCACGTTATGGAGTGCTCAGCAAACGTCAGTTTCCTCTGTGTGGATATTCTGCCAACAGACAACCTTTTTCATCTCCTTCGCTCTGGAGAGGATGGCTTGGGTGTCTGTCTGTGGGATATCTTTAGGAAAGCAACCACCTAGGCTGCTTCTGCCAAGTCCTTCAGCAGCTGCTGAAGCAGCAACGTGGTCTCCCCATGCTCCATTTAAGCCTTACTTTTCTTGGTTTTATTTTCTAGCAAAATGAAGCTGAAGGAAATTGACCGTACTGCCATGCAGGCATGGAGCCCTGGCCAGCAGCACCCCATTTACCTGGCCACTGGTGAGTTTCTGGGAAGCATGTGCTAGTGGGCCTCAGACTACCTCTTGTGACTGCCATGAAGTGGTTGTCATTGAAGTTGTAGGAGTTATTTCATGTCCTGAAGGCTGGAGAGGGCTATACGGTGCAGTGCTCTTAGTGGCATTCTCCAGATGTGCTGTGTGTGAAAACATGCTTTGCATTTTTCATGTAACAGCAAGCATCCTCTCCTTTCTGCCAGGATAAGGTGACAGCAATCCTAACAGCTAGCTCACTGTCCCTTGTCTCTCATTTGTAACTTTGCCTGTTTTCTGTGCGTTGTCAGAGAGATGCGCTTGCCCAAAGTTTTTCCTGTTCATATTGGTTAAGAGATCCCCAAAGGGGCCACCGTGGGCAGGAGAGTTTTGTAGAACTACATCTAAATAACAGAAACCTGACCCCATCTCATGGTCCTTTTTGCAAGGATTGTTTTTATGCCCCTCCTTGTGTCGCTTTTGCAGTTGGTTTTTTGTGTAGCATGGCTTTCTCACTGCCAAGCGTGCTTCTTTACAGGTACATCAGCTCAGCAGCTGGATGCAACCTTCAGTACAAGTGCTTCTCTGGAAATATTTGAGTTGGATTTATCGGACCCTTCGCTGGATATGAAATCCTGCGCCACCTTCTCCTCTTCTCACAGGTAAGCAGTGGGGCTGCAAGGGAAAAGTAATGGTTGTGAGACTGTTATGTGTGCTGCATGTGGAAAGGCCTATTCACGAAGTTTGACTGCAGTTGTTAAGGAGAGGAGCAGAAGTTCAGTGCTGAAGAATGAAGGCAAGTGAGTAGTAGGCCATTGATGTAGTGGGATAGTGAGGTATTGCTGCGAAGTGAGCTTGGACTCTGGAGTTGCGAGCAACTCCTGCTCTGACATAAAGCTGAAAAATCTGGCATTGGCTGGTACGTTTGAATATATATGGTGACTGTTTTTCTTGGGGACCCTCTGGGATTCTCCAGAGAATGGAGGGAAATGGGAAATTATGAAAAAGCAGTTGCAACTTTTCACATTGCACCTTCCTGTTTGCATTTAGCTGTTTCAGGGAGACTGCTGTAACATAACAAAACCAGGTCATGTTGTGTGTGTGGTATCATACCTCACCCCACATCTGGGAAGCCACATTCCTGACTGCATAATTCCACTTTGCTCTTAGTTCCTTACAGTGCGCTTGTCCAAAGAAATACCGTTACTGTCAGAGCGCCCGATTTCCGTCTTGGCAGCACTTGTAATGGCGCTCTGGTGACTGGTCCAGTGACTGTTACTCGTCGTACGTGAGCTGAAACAACATAGATGGAAGTGCAGGACATTTCTGTGGGTAGAGAAGGAAGTGGAAATTTTCATTGCCATTGAATTGGATCTATGGCTCTTTGATACCAGCTACAGTGTCAGCATAACCACTCTTACCCCTGGTGGTGATCTGAAACGGCATGACTGAAGGTGCAGGCAGTTAACAGCATCTTGCCAGTATGTCCAAGTGAGCATTTGACTTATCTAGAGAAACAATTGCCATCTCCTCCACCTCTGATATGAGTAGAAATTAATTGGACTTGAGTTTTCATTATCTGTTCTAAAGCTGTAACTTCAAGACTGAAGGATCTATGACTGTTTCCTAAAGTTCTTGACCAGATGCATTTTGCTGGGTTCCTAGAGCTTAAGTGTTGCCTGTAAACAAGTTTGGAGGCGTTGAAATTGTGTGTATTTGCACACAGTAAGGTCGTGACCCTGCTTAAGGTTGCTCTCCTGATTTGTGTAAATAACAGTTGCGGTACCTTTTGCAGGAGGAAGCACAAGGCGTTGGACTGCTGGCTTTGTGCCGTGTCAGTTTTGTTGCAATGATCTGTGGGACTGGCAGGCAGCTCACACTCTGTGCCTTGCAGTTACCTGTGTTTTAGTGCTTGGAGCTTGTGAGAAGCAGCCACGGTGTCTGCTTAATGCCCTGCACTGTGGGCAGAGCTGATGTTGATGGTCCCTCCTGACCTGCTGAGAGCAAGATGAGGTGTTTGATCTTTTAAAATTTCCCCGTTCTACCTTGTTTTAACAATGACCGATATTTTTCAAGGCTTGCCAAGTGTCATTTGCTTACTGAATTTCAAAAAGCTTATGGCCAGGATGCTGCACTGGTTTGAAAGTGCTTCCTTTGGTGAGCAGCACAAGTATTTAACTTTGCCCCAGAAAATGCATTACAAGTGAGGTTGATTTATTTATTGATTTTATTACAGATAACAAGAAATGCCCCTGAGAGCAATGTATGTCAGGCTTTATTTTGATGAATGGAAAGAACCAGGTGACTGAACCCACAAAAGATAAATCTCACAACAAGCTTTGTTAATTGACCTCCCATGGAAAGTTTTATGCTGCTTTTACAGAGCCGTACATTATCTTGGAAAGAGCAAAGGGCAAGAGGAGAGTAACTGCACAGTTAATTCTGGTTTTTGTTCATTGCCATTTTCTGCCGCCTTTTTGGATTCTTGTCTTAAGACCTGTTGAGTCTTGCTGGTCATGTAATACTAGTGGCCAGACAACCCTGTCAGTCACTCCATTTCTTGTAACCTTTCATAGTTAGGTGCAGAAGTACAAGAATCATGCCCAGGAAAAGGGTCTGTCTGATAGTAGAGACCAATTTCTGTTTGTAGTGTTGTTTTTCGTTGAACCCTCACTGTAATCTGAGTGCTGTACTAGGACACTAAGCACTGAGACTGAGCTGCTGAGCACTTGGTGGTTACAGTACTTTCACTCAGCATCTGCTCTTTGTCTGGCTTTCTGCAGGAGGCATTTTATCATGCTGAAGTTGCTGCGTTTTTAAAAAAAATAGCTGAAGGTTGTCCAGAGATAAGGAAAAGATTAATAATAACATGATAAAGGCCATAAAAGTAACTCCCTGCCACCATCCACTGGACATGGATTTGCTTTCTGCTTTTATAAGATGTGATATGTGACGGTGTGTTGTTTTATGTAGAAGAAAGTAATTCTCTACATGGTTGAATACCCAGGAATGCTGTTCTGCTTATGCAGCAAGTTCATGGAGTTGAAGGAGACGTCGGTATTTGCAGATGGACACAGTGGTGTGAAAATACTTCCTTTCTGGAAGTATGTTTAATTCCTCTTGATTTTGCCAGGAAAACAGACTGTGGTCCAGCAGATGAAACGTTTGCACGTCCAGAAGCATAGATATGGAAACGGATTTGGAATTTTTCTAGTTTCACCTTTTTTTCCCTCTCTTGTGTGAAGAGTTGCTCACAAATAGCAGAGCTTTACCTCCAGGCTGCAGTTGGATGGGCTTCCAGTCCTTATTTTGATTACTCCTGTTTTGTAAAGATGAGCTCAAACTCACATGCGGTTGGGCGCATTTACCTGATTTTGCAGCCAGGAGATGAGAGGTGTGGAGATGTGTGTCATGAGCCTGTGTCTTGATGACGAACAGAATTGGGTCACATTGTGTTTTTGGTGGAAGGTTGTACTTACAACCTGTAAGTACAGAGACTCGTGCTTAAAGAGAAATGCAGGCAGCGCTTTTCTCCGATGTCTCTGCTCTGTTAGCAGCAGTCGGGAGGCTTTAGCTGGGGTGAGCAAAATGCAGTGCTTCAGTGTATGTGGAGCTGGTGGTGGATAGTTGTAGACTGAGGACCTCTGTGTCTTACAGGTACCACAAGCTAATCTGGGGGCCACACAGCATGACCTCAGGTGAGGGAGTCTCCGGAGTCCTGATTGCCGGGGGTGAAAATGGAAATGTCATTCTGTATGACCCAGCCAAAATCGTAGCTGGTGATACTGAAGTAATAATTGCCCAGAAAGACAAGCACACGGGACCAGTAAGAGCACTTGATGTCAACATGTTCCAGGTTGGTTTTCTGCTTTTCTTCATCACATACTGTCATAGATGAGTGGCTGTTTCAACTTGTAACCATAAATGTTTCTGTCCTTAATGTTCTTAAATGTTCCCTACCCCTGAAAAACATAAACTAAATTTGGTGTTTGTGTGTGTGTGTTTAGTAGGAAAAACCTGTCCTGTTACTGGTGTTTCAGAATGGGGAATGAAAGAGTTTAAGGTGTCTGGTTCATTCCTTCCCCTAGTCAGACTACGCTGTCAATTTAGTGGGTCTTTCTAGCTCAGCTTACATGTAAAGTAGAGGTGGTTTTCTGTGGCGTTTTTATCCAGTCTCCCTTTCCAGCACCCACATGCTTTACCAGTATTGTTCTTGTGACATGGGGAGTATGTGCATGCTCTCACTCGTGCTTCCAGTGACATTAAATTTTGGGTATCTCCTTTGGGGTTCGGTAGGATCTGTCTTCAATATATCTAAACATTGTTACTTGGAAACAGAAGACAGTACAGGAAGCACAGTGGTGTGGCCTCTTTAGCAGAAGAGCTCTAAAAACAGACAAGCTTTCCTCCATCACTAATGAGCATTTACTTCCTTCTAGATACAGTGGGTTGGTTTTTCCTTGTAACCACCAGCTGTGCAAGAATTCAGTGGAATTCGTTTTCTAAATAGCACTTCTGTCCCTACACACTTGCTTTCAGCATGGCTGCCCTTTGTTCATTGTTTCCTCTCTGGATTGCTTCCTTTCCCTTTCTGCCGTTATGAAGTCAGGACTTGCTTGTCACCAGCCGCAGGATGCGATCAAAAGGTGCTCCGTGCCCTCGGCTCGTGTTGCACTGCCTGGACTTTTGCATCCCAGATGTAGGATTGCGCTGGATGGTTGTACTCACTGTAGGTGGCTGCTGAAGGCAGGAAAGCCGCATTCCTTCCAGCCAACCCCACGTGTCGTGGTCTGCGCAGAGCAAAGCTCTGAGGCAGTGATTGCTGCAGCACTGCTTCCACGTCTGCCCCCTCCCAGAAGCATCACTGCTTTTTGCTTGCCGTCCATGGCTGCAGCCCTGCAGCCTCCTCAGGGATGTTTGCTGTGCAGTGGAGGAGCACTCTACAAAGCAGGAATTCTGGTCTTGACATCCCAGGTCTGGTGCGCTGTATGGGCTTTTTTAAATTAACTCAGTCTTACCTGCAATTTCAAAAAACTTGCTTTTTTCCCTAAGCTGCTCTGTGTGAGCCATAGGCTACATCTTGAGCTGCTAGGAGAAATTGGCATAGTCCTGTGGATCTGATACCTCCCAGCAGCTAAGACTGTGAAAGCTGATGCTGAAAATACTCTTAACATCTATTAATGTGTCTTACAGACTAATCTGGTGGCCTCTGGTGCTAATGAGTCTGAAATCTATATCTGGGACTTGAACAATTTTGCCACACCAATGACACCAGGAGTGAAGACGCAGGTACCAGATTAGTGTTTGTTAAATACTACAGAGCAGGCTAATGAAAGATATGCATGTGACTGAAGTTGAAAGCTCATTGAAACTTACTGTTTTAAAGCTGTCTTAAGCAGGGGAGAGAAGGCCTTTTGAAGTCTAACTTGGGTAGCAGTTATTTGTAGTTAGGCTTAAGCTGCATTTCTGGCAATGTGAGATACAGGCCTTAAGGAGTGGTATGACAAATATCTCCATATAAAAATAAAGGAAAATATGTTACTGCATGTTCTTCTCCAGTGACTTTCCCAAAGGCCAACAAAAATAGGCTTTCTATTAGTACTTAGTTTTTGTAATATGCTTATTAGTCTGTTGGGTTTCAGCTGTTTTTTGCCTTGTGACATGCCTGTGACTCAAAGCATATGGCAGGAGCCTGTGTCCTTAAGAACAGTTCTCTCTGAGTGGCAGCATAGGTACCTTTCAGTGAATGCTTTTGGAATTAATTCAATTAATGACAGCAATTGTTTAGTCCCTGGAGTGCGGTCTCTGGCTGTGCCTGTAAGTGCAAGCATGCACAGGTCCATGTGATGAGTGGCTCGCTCTGCTTCCCAGGCAGCGACCCTGGATGTGCAGTCATGTTTATCCACAACAGACCTGATTCGTGTCTTCATGTAATGGGATTTTATTTCTGAAAAAAAAAAAAAATTGTATTTGGCCAGGGAAAGCTGAAATATCCCCTTAGTCTTTGAGAAACGTTGCATTTTATTAAGCAACAAGTAATAACAAGCTGAGTCTCTCAGGTTACACCACTTTTTAGATATCCGTAACCATTACACACAGGGTGAGTATCTTTTTAGTCTTCCTCTTCATGTCTCACTGCATGCATGAATCTGAAGATTGTGAAGGTATAACTTGAGGAAAATCAAAAGATAAAAAGCAGCTACTGAGAAGTCAGAAGATGAGGCAGTAGGTTCGGCAGTTACCCTTATGGTTTTCAGAGAGTGTTTAATTGCTGTACTGAAGGGCCATTGTTTAGCCCCTGTCTCTTAAAGAAGACTTATGGGAAAGAACAGTGCCTTTTGTCCTTTGTGCCCTGTGAAGGAGACAGAAGAAGGGGATGAAGTTGTTTCAATGCTGTATGTTTCTGTAGCTGTTACAAAATTGCACAAGAGGTTTGTGGTTACTGGAAAATGTTTTAGTACTGCGTGATAATTTGGAGATGACAAAGTGAGAAAATAAGATGAGAAGTAATCTTCAGTTTGAGGATTTTTAGCTTAGAACGCTGTGGGTTTGGATATTTTGTGTAATCTGAGTCATTTATTATCATGGTGGCATTTTGGAGGACACCTTAGTTAAAGATCCCTGTACAGGATTTTTTTCATGTGCAGTAATGATGTTTTTAGGCTGGGCAATCGTTTAGTCCAATATGCTCAATGACAGCTGGAAATAATAGTGCAACAAGGATGAAGTTAATGTTGCTTTTAATTCTCAGACTAAAAGTAAGCAGTTAGGGGGAAATAAAAAAGCCTTGCAGAATTCCTCCAAGCAAACTTCTTTTTTTTTTTTCTAATCAACATAATAATTCAAGGCAAAAGGGCAGTTCATGTGCCTGGGTATACTTTCATGGAGTAAGTTTCTGGTTTTGAAGACTGTTGTGCTTAGTCTTCTTTAAGTGACTAATGTATCAGTGCAGAAAATGCAGATATTACAGAGAAATAGAAGTAGCTTATAAATTGGAGTTTTCTGGCATTCTAACCTACAGCATCTGTACATAGGAAACCAGAGCACACAGGAAACCCAGTACTTGGGATGAGTCTCCTTGAAGATTTGTAATATAGCAAGCCCTAGAAATAACAGGTTTTGAGTCCTCAATTAGGAAAGGTTGTGATGGGCTGTTCTGTGTGTGTGCAACAGCCTCTTGAGGACATCAGCTGCATCGCATGGAACAGGCAAGTCCAGCACATCCTGGCATCTGCCAGCCCCAGTGGCCGAGCTACTGTGTGGGATCTCAGGAAGAATGAACCCATCATCAAAGTCAGTGACCACAATAACCGGGTGAGTTAGCTCTCATGCAGCCACACGGGTGCTTGTGGAGAGGTATGGGGGGGTCTCTTGGCATGCGGGGACAGGTCATAGTGCCCCTTCTTACATGACATAAAGATAGAGGTGCCTGCCCCAGTTTTTACAACATGCTAAATAGCTAATGCTTTTTCTTAAAAGGCTGTGTTCATGCAGAGGGTTTGTCATCATTTTAAACAAAAAATAGGTAGGTGCAGGTTGAAGTGAGGCAAGGCACTCAAATTTCCTAATGGGACAATAACTTGGTTTGGAGAAAGTTATTACTGTTTTCTTTGGGGCTACCACAGCAAGATTTTATTCAACTAGTCAGAAATGACGTGTTGAAGCAGGAGGTCACAGCTGATGTGTTCTGGGTGAGCACATTGAATTTTGCAGAGCAGGTGACATCATCTCTTTGTGCTCAGGCATGGAGGGCTTCCTCCTTGGCATCACAGGTGGGATGAACACAGGGGCTGAGTGGTGACAAGTCACTGGTGACTGATGGAGCTGAGACCTTTGCTTCTGCTGGTCTGAACATGTAAATGGGAGCAGGCTGCAGCTGAGCTTGGCAAGGACAGGCTCTGTGGCGGAGTGCACCAGCGGAGTGTTGCCATTGAGCAGGTTACATGGGACACTGCCTCGTATAGTTACAACCACCAAACCTGCTCCTCAGGCAGTGTAAATGTAGAAAAGAGCCTGGTCACCACACTCTTACTCTGGTAAACTGTGTAACTCTCAATGTTTGTGTTTGTTACCCTACATAATAGCAGCAGAGTAGACTGTCTTCATTGTATGATTGTCCTCTAATGATAGTGTTTGCATGACAATAACCTCTGTCTAATGATGGCTTTTATTAAAGTATCAATACAAATGTTGGAGAAAAACGTTTGTACAGAGGGCTTTACTGTTTTCTTACATAAAAACATAGAATTATGAACAAGACAGCACAAAGTCATCTCTCTGAGAGGACCTTGGGAAACTAACCGCAACTCTCCTCACTCATGGAAACAAGGAGAGCATCCCAATCTGAATAGAGTTGGAAATAATGCTCAGAAACACAACTGCAAATTTCCTTGTAACAGTGTTTTACCATACATGTAGACATATTAAGGCTAGTTACCTTTCATCATTTAGTGCTGCTTAGTTATTTTGTGCTGTGACGCAATGTTGTCCCTCAGATGCACTGCTCGGGCCTGGCATGGCATCCTGATGTCGCTACCCAGATGGTTTTGGCATCAGAGGATGACAGATTGCCTGTGATTCAGATGTGGGACCTAAGATTTGCCTCCTCACCACTGCGTGTTCTGGAAAGCCATACAAGGTATGGGTCTTGTAGCCTGCTGCGCCATGGTGTTTACACTGTTGGTGAGGGTGTACCGGTTTGTATATCTTGCTTCTTGCCCAGTTTCCTGCAAAGGCTCACTTAGCTAGGAGGCAGTGATACCAGCTGCAGGCAGTGTTACATGCTGGCTTGCTGACCAGCCAACCCTGTGTCCTGTAAGGCTTGCCTTTCTGGGGCCTGCTGTTTTGAAGGAAACAGGCCCCAAAATACAGAAGCACCTTACACTGAAGTTGCTAATTTGTTTCTGTGCATTTTGAAAAGAGAGAGCTGAAGTGCAAAGAGTTAGTAGTACTTGATTTTCGTCTGAATAATAGACTGAAGGTGCGCATCCTCTTATGTGGACATGCACAGTTTCTGTTCTCTCTCCAGTCCCCTGAATAACTTAAATTTGGGTAAACAGAAAGATTTTTGTTAAATTGTCATCCCTCTTCAATTGTTAGTGAAACTTTCTGTATTGGCCAAAACCAGTGCTTGATTTAAGAAGGGAGAACAGCAATAAGTCTGTGTTGTGGCTTCTGCCTAAACTGCTGCCAGTGGTTCTGACATGAATCTCCTGCTAATAAAATGAAGCTGACAAACTCTGTAGTCACCAATTTTACATACAGGTTTGCCTGGCTGTATGTTAATGATACTGCAGGCAAACAAGCCATTTTGTTGCATTCGTGTCCAGGTTCTCTTCTATGACTGCTGCATTTAATTTTCAGATACAATGGCTGCTCTATTACACTTCTTCATGCAGAAAATAAAAAGCATCTGTTTCAATAAATAAAGTGCTGATAACATTGAGAAAATTCTCCTTTTGTAAGAGGAAGGAGTGGGGAGGTGGAATGCTCAGCTAAAGTAGAAACTCATAAATATGCTTTATTTATCACCATTTTGTGTTTACATTAAACTTTTTTTCACACAGGGGTGTATTGGCCATTGCTTGGAGTATGGCGGATTCAGAGCTGCTACTTAGCTGTGGGAAGGATGCTAAAATTCTCTGCTCCAACCCTAACACAGGCGAGGTATTGTACACACACCACTTAAAAAGAAACCTCTGTTCAGAGGTGTCACAGTGACATCTGCAAAGCAGGTGTTGGCATGACTTGGAATTATGCTTCTGTGGGGTATTTTTTTTCCTATCCTGTGTGCTTGTGTTTAGTGTATGTGCCTTCTAAGCTTGTGGTGATGCAGCATTCCTTCTCAGTGTTGCCAACCTTACACGTTTGTCCTCACTGCTTCTCTTCAGTTAAGTGGTAAGGTCCCTGCTCATTATAAGAGATGGAAATGGCCTCAGTTAACCTTGGTATTTGCTTCCTGCTCTTTTGGTTTGGGTCTGATGTGGCTGGATCACTGTTGCAATTGCCTTTTTCCTTCTGTAAGTGTAAGAACTTTTATCCACAGAATCACAGAACGTTAGGGATTG